ATCGCGTGAAGCTATCTTGGCTGGCAGCAATCTTTGGGGACATTGTTGATGACATAGATGATGTACATGTGTTGGCTCGTTATGTTAGAGCCTGGATATTACGTTATCTAGGAGGAGTGCTTGTTCCCGATAGATCTTCGTCGTATGTGTCCTTACGGTGGTTGGTGTTTTTGCGCGACTTTGATATTATTAGGACTTATGCATGGGGTGCAGCTGTGCTTGGATGTTTGTATCGGAATTTATGCACCTCAACCGATTACAAAACCCCAACCTGCGGTGGATTTACCCTTTTATTACAGTTATGGGCATGGGAACGATTCCCAACCATTTTGTCTTCACCATTGCCACCTATTCCTCCAGGCAGTCCAATTGGTTTAAGGTAGGAGCAAATTTGAAACTTTACATTTTGACAATTAATCAGTTAATTAAACATTATTTAATTGTTTACAATTTGTTTTTTCAGGTGGTCAAACACAGCGACCAAAATAAGTATGAGCGATGATATAAAATTTTATCGCAAATACTTTGATAGTACTACTAGGAAATCTGTAAGTAATTAACGTTTTGTAGTTTTAAAAAAAATTTATGTAAATTATTTGTATTATAATATTTACTAATTAAAAATTATATTTTACAGATTATTTGGCAACCATATCCCCCTGTTGAACAGATGCCCGGTGACTGCACACAGGGGATGCATATTTGGGGTTTTGTAATCCCCTTACTTTGTCTCTGTATTTGTGAATGGCATCAGCCGGATAGGGTGATGAGGCAATTTGGTTGCCAACAACCAATTCCAAATCCTCCAATGACTCCTGCAAATGTGCATGCATTGACCTTACGAGGTAAGGTTGAAGATGACTAGGCTACAATATTAAGTTCAACATTAGAGCATTGGGGTCATCGCTATGAATATCACTTTACACCTACTCCTCCACAGGTCGGACTATTAGGTCCGAATTCAGAATACATGAGATGGTACCGGAGGAAAGGGAAGCTGTACATTGATCCCGATGAAGTTAAAGAGTCAGTTCTGGTATGTGCACTTTAGTAATTATATTTTAATACACTATTTTGTCTAAATATAAAGTTGTTAATTATTTATGACATTTGTTGTATATGTAGGGAGATGTAGCTGAGTGTTTGGCATACTTGACTTACCCTCCTAGTAGAGAAGAGTTTTCGGTGGAGGTAGTCACAGAGCAAACTAATCGATTATTATCGATATCTGATGACTATCTAGCACGTGTCATTAAGCCAGCTGAGGAAGCACCCCCTCCTTCTGGGGCATATGAGATGGGGACATTCAATGTTCCTCCATACTCTAGGGAGGCTGCAAGATTATCTTGACAGTTAAACTATTGTGATAAATACTATGTGATTGTGTTGTGATGAGTTGTTGATCACTAGGACTAGAGGAAAAGTTTTCAAAGTTGCTCATCCCATTGTGTGGATTGAGATAGTTGTGGTACTCTGAGAGCCCAATTCGTTTAAAAAACCTCCTTGGAATGTTTTCCCTTGGAGTGGATGATGTGTTGTTCTCCTCTAGGACTTGGTTAGTCCCG